TGTAATTATTCGTCAATTAGATCAATGTCTTCTTTAATGATTCTTTGTTGAGAACCGAAGTAAAACAAACTTTTTATGAAAATATACTTAAGTTGAAAGTGTGAAATAAAATATGGTCGTACAAAATTTCGTACTAAAGAAATTTAATTCTTCTATTGCTAAACGAATGTGCAATTGCATGTAACTTGACTTAAACGTGCCTACGAATTTTACTTTATCTTTTTACGTGTTAGTGCTCATTGATATTTATTAAGTCATGGGATTATTCATTTTTTCTAAAATATTATATGAATTAATAAGTCAGTATTACAATTTCATATAAATTGTTTGATTTGTACTAATATTATGATTCATCATTCGATCATTAACCGTTTTCCTTTAAAAATATATTTGTGTTTTCAGCACATTTTCAAGATTCAATCATTCCAGAATGAAAGCTCCTATAATAAATTTAATTGCATATTTAAACTTTTAACTGAAAATTCACATTTCTTATACTTATATGTATTAAAATTTGCTGTATTGTATACATTTATATTCAGCCTACATTCAATTAATTCGCTATAATCAGAGTAATACCTTATTAATTAGTCTTGTAATTGATTAACGGAAGTAAAGTACATATTTCTGTTCATACTAAATTGGTAAATTTGAATGGATCTCATAACAAAGATGCATTCTAATGCCATAAAAGTGTACACAAAGGTAATACGAAATTTTTTGAACTGGGACTTCTCTAGTTGCTTCGTGCAAATGTGTAACTGGAATACTTTTCAGCGTATAATCAAGAATTGTGGCACGAAAACGTCTCTTTTATATAGTTCTAATGACGTACAATAGTTATTAACATTTTATTTTTATTTTTGTAGAAGTGGATTTTTTAATATAAAACTTGAAACAATAATTAGTTTATTCTTAATTTTCATCTTATTTCTCATAAAAAAATATCTAATTGCTCAAATGCTATAAAATGGATATACTTTTTTTTTACTAAAAAACGTAGCATGTCATATTATTAATGCTGCTAGATACAAATTAAAGGAGAAAAATCTTTGAACGCATCATATGTGCCATGTATTCCACCAATATTCGATATTGGACGATTCGATCACTCCACCATTTTTCTCTTTAGGTCACACATCATGTTAAGTCTAGTCGTCTGTAAACTATGGCTATTAATGTGAAATACATGTCTTACGATCATTCAACCAGAAGTAAGATTGTGACCTATTTATTTGTAGTTTTGATGCTTTCATGGCCTGGAGTGTTACATTCATTTCTGGCTTTCGGGAGAGAGCCGTGTCCACTAGGAATTTCAAAAAGTCAATTTAACTGCTCGGTAGTTTCAGTTAAATATCAGCTGGAATGTAGGAAGTGTGAAAATGAAAGGTATTCCGCCATCTAGGGATTGTTTATAAGCATTTCAAAGAAACAAAGTTTTGATACGGTAATATTATATTCTCAAATGTTCAGTGCATTTTAGTTTTCAACATTCGTTCACTCACGAAGAACAAACATGAAGATGAATCACCGCGGCCAGTTGAATTGCTTTACAACCGTCGCGCTTCGAAAACTCGAAGTTTCCGACACCCGGATGTCATATGCATCTACTCCACTAAAAAGGCAACTCTATGCTCATAAATCAGTACCACTCTTCGTTATCCATGACGCAAAACAATAGCATTTTTGTTGACTGTCAAGATTCACATTGACACATTCACAAACTTCTGTAAGCGACCAGAATTTATTAATATTAAAACTACCACACGAGTGAAAATGACTCATTTCTGATTTCTTCTTTTTGCAATTATTAAAAAGATAACAACTTCTCTGAGAAAGTATTAAAGAAATTAATTCAGCAATACGCGAACTGAATTATAAATCAATTAAAGTCTCAATAGATGCACTCTTAAAGCTTCTGTAAAAGATTTTCAAAAAGTCAATTTAATTGCTCGGTAGTTTTAGTGTTAAGCGTTAATTATTTATATATGGCGTGCCGTTTACAAATGATAAAAAGAGAACATATTATAACTTGCATACTTTTCTAAAAGAAAAATAACCGGCGGAACATTTAATAATAATGTATCAAAACTATTTTACGCGGTATTGTCGAACATTTCAGATAACGAGGATAGCATCTTCGGAACCAATTAAAACGGAATGCTCAATTGTTTTGGGATACAACAATAATATTGGAAACAAATGAAGTTTAAATTAAATTTTCTGGATTTCCATTTCTATTGTTATTCTATGAAATGTTGCGGCATGGCAAACAAATATTTTTATAAACTAAATGAGATTTTCCTTTACGTACCCCTTTTTATGAATACTGACTCTTAGACTTCATTTACGTGTGCTTCAACTGTATAAAAAGGAGCAGTCGAATGTTTTTTATAATTATAATAGATGAATATACATTATCTAGTTACATATGCATGAAATTGCTTTTAATAATTATCCTTAGCTAAAATATGTCAAAAATTAAATTACAATAATTTTTAATTACGATAAAGCTACAATAATGTGACGACAATAAATTCATTTTTAACGTCTTTCAAGTGCCATATTTGAAGCTTTGATCCGTATTAAAGTATGAAAATATATTTTCTTATCGTAAATGGGAAATAAATATAACACTGAAAACTATTATAACTGGGAATATAAAGTAACTGCGTTGTAGTTACAATTACGGAATCCTTAAGCAGCCATTGACGATGAATACTTATTTATTTTCCCAATGAAAAAGGAAGCTTGTTTTACAATTCTTTTTGACAGTGCCAGCGTCAATGAAGAATTTTCTATTGTGTGCAGTTAGTCAGCGAAGAATTTTCTATTGTGTGTAGTTACAATTTGTGCCAAACTTCTAGTTTTCAAAATTAAATAAAATACATCCGGAACTATTAGTGCGGAGCGGATATCTCACTGTCTTTAAACATTCTTTGGGCATATTTAAATGCTAACAACATACTTCGAAATTATTTTGTCTGAGAGAGATTTCGGAATGGGATCATTGGCAACTAATTTAAACTGTGTTTTAAATTATGCTCCTTATTATTGTAGTGTGTATTCCTTAGTTGTGGATAGCTGATTAGATTAAGTGTACTATTTTGATTTCTTTTAGAAATTTCAAAATATTAGATCGTGAGAGAACTGTTTGAGTTACTACTTTAAGGTCTTCTTTTATTTGATATTTTCTGCATTTCATTCTTCAAGAAGGTCACAAACGTTATCCGCACAAAGTCGATCAGTGTTCTCATGAGCGTAATTCATCGTGAAAACCAATATGACGGTTCAACGGAGGTTGTAAATCTTCGTCTCGATGCGAATCGACACTACGAAAATTGCGTTCCTCTTTAAAATGAATTATCCTGTTATAGATAATCAAATTGACTGAGAAAATATATGGGTATAATAGTTGCAAAAATAGTACACACATAACAAAGATAATAAATTATTACGCAATATATACAATTGTAAATACAATAGAATTGCACTGATAAAGTAACCTGGTGTGTTATGTATTACTTAAATTCTATTAGTATGATTTATCAATATCTATGCTATATTGAAAAAAATCTGAATCATTTTTCGTTGATAACTCTAGGTGTGTATGCGTAACAGATCCGGCTCGAAGGACCAAAAAATGTTACGTTACGATCGACGGGTCGACGCTTGGTCGCGACTCGAATGGTTTCACGATTTTACGTTGACCGTACGCGTGATGCCCGCCAAATTAATCTTGGGTACCTGGATCCGTCGATGGAGCAGTGGTCGCGTCTTCGCGTTACGTTTTGTTCGAATCGAGATTTTAGTAAACGAGTCTTTCGTGTGACTGTAGTTTTCGAAGGTAGTACGTGAATTGTGTTTGTCTAATGTGACACATGAACTCGTGGAAGTGAACTGTTCTTGTCGAATGCGGTAAGTGTACTCTGCTTGTCGAATGCGTGAAGTGATCTCTACTTGTCGAATGCGTGAAGTGATCTCTACTTGTCGAATGCGTGAGGTGAACTATCGGAAGTGACCTGTTCTTGTCGAATGCGGTGAGTGGTATCTACTTATCGAATGCGTGTTGTTTCACAATGTGTGAGTACGCGTTCGCGACGAGACTGTAGGATGCGTTGAGAGCCGAGTCAACGGAGGGCGTAAATCTCCGATACGATTTTAAATCGACGTCACGATGCGCGTACGACCCTACGACTTTTTACAGAGGTAGGGTGAATACGTTGTGTTCCGACAAGGTTTCGGTTTAAATGGTACGTTTTTCGCGGGAGGATGATGTTGTTCCCTTGTCTTGTTGATGCTAACTGACCCCTTGGAGACGCAAATTCACTTCGATTCACCCACGCCGGAAGTGAATTTGCCGCGTTGACGGAACGCACGCGGAAGTGGAGACGTCGAATTTTCCGATTCGCTGGGATGAACGCGTTGGCGTGTTCTCCACTGGGACTGGTGGTTGAGAAATGCACCAATCAGCGAGTCGGAAAATGCCGGAAAATGACGGTCCCAATTGGCGGGTCCCTCGGGCCGAGGCGATTCATGCGCCACCTGTCCGTGCGTGGGTGCACCTCAGCCGCGAGAGCCCGCTCTTTTTGGGTTTTTCCGGCTTCGTGTGACGTCATCCACTCTCCCTCCGAGGGTGTCTCCAAGGGGTGGTTTGCCAAGGCTGCGGCATGTGTTTTGCAAGCCGTCGACCACGGACCGAATTTTTACCGTTCGGCCGAACGGCTGCAAAACACGTGTACCCCCGTCATTTACTTGAACGAAGATATTTTTCGCCAAGTTGTTAATGACGGAGGGCTTTATGAAGATTTACGATTTGATCTTTCCGTCTTAGGACGACGGAACATGCTCCCCCCCTTGAGAGGGTACCGATCAAGATGTGTATGGTATTACGACTAAGTGTAGATTAATGATGTGAGTAATGAGCTTAATTAAGAATCTTAAATACGAGTACACGCAATATATGATTAAACAGTTAAGAGTGAAATACGTAGCTGAATCTATGGTGGTTCAACACTGTCCGTGGATGTTGGGTCCACAGGGTTATCCTCGTCGGGCTGATATGGCAGGGGTACAAGTTTTTTCGTGGTCCGATCTAGTACGCCCGTAGCCGTCTGAAGGGTCACAGCACGAACAATACCGTCAGAGCCGGGGTGAGCCTTAATCACTCGGCCTAAGGCCCACTGCATGGGGGGAATGTTGTCCTCCCTTAGAAGAACGATTGTACCCTCCTTGATTGGATGACTGCCCTTGGTCCATTTGTTGCGCAGGGTTAGCTCGTTCAGATATTCCCTATGCCAGCGGTTCCAGAAGTGTTGCTTCACTTTCTGAATGTGCTGCCAGCTCGATATACGGTTTGAGGGAATATCTGTAAAATCGCGCTCGCGTAGGCTCGTGAGGGAATCGCCAATGAGGAAGTGGCCTGGTGTCAGTAAGAGGAGATCGTTGTTTGAATCAGCGGATATAGGAGTTAAAGGGCATGAATTGAGGATGGACTCTATTTCAATGATTAAGGTATTCAAATTCTCGAAGGTAAACAGCTCAGTACCTACGACGCGGAAAGCCTTTACAGCTGCTTCCCACAAGCCACCGAAGTGTGGTGCGTGTGGTGGGATAAAACTCCACTCGATATGCCGCTCCGCGAGAAATGTCTTTACCTTTTGATTATGGTCATCCGATTTTAAGAGTTCGCGTATTTCTCGTAGTTGGTTATATGCCCCAACGAAATTTGTGCCATTGTCCGAGTGAATACGTTTACAAAATCCCCGTCGAGCAATGAATCGTCTAAGTGCAGCTATGAATGCTTCGGTGGTAAGGTCACTTACCAGTTCCAAATGAATGGCCTTGACCGCGAGGCACACGAAGACCGCAACGTACACCTTGACACGCGTTCGATTCTGTTTCTTCCTTTCCTTAATATAAAATGGCCCGCAATAATCAACCCCGGTGTTCGTAAATGGCCGGGATTCGGTGACTCTTGCTTTGGGCAGGTTACCCATTATGTAGTCTGTTGATGGTGGTTGCGCTCGGAGGCAGCGCGAGCAGGTCTTTATGGCCCTCCATACCTGACTTCGACCGTCAACGGGCCAGTATCGGCGCCTAACTGCGTATAGCGTGTTTTGCACGCCGGTGTGCAGTTGAGCACGATGCTCGGCTTCGATGATGAGTCCCGTCACGCGTGCCTTTGGTAAGATGATGGGATGCCGTTGCGAAAATGGCATTAAGGAGTGTTTCAATCGTCCTCCGACTCGCAATATCCCGTCCTTGTCGATGAATGGATTGAGACGTTGCAGTTTTCCACCGACTTCTGATTTGTTTGTAGTTAGACATTGTAATTCTTTTGCAAAGTGCAAGCTTTGCAAAAGTTTTATTAGAATGTCGTGGGCATTCCTGATTTCGGACACTGTCAGGCTACCCTTTTCATTATACGTCCTTTTCCATCGAAGACAGCGCGCGACGATCCGTTGCATCTTTCCCCACGACGAATAATTTTCGAAGATGCTCGTGTCTAATGATGTTGTAGTTAGACACGCTGCTGTCTTTTGCTCCGGGACGATGTTGGGTGGAACTATTTCATGGTTTGGCCATCGAGATTTGTCCTTGGCGAGCCACTCTGGACCATGGTGCCAGATGGATGGTCGTAGGAATTCTTCTGGCGTTTGACCGCGCGAAATGAGATCCGCGGGATTGTCATTAGTCGGAACGTGTCGCCAATTCGCGATGTCAGTTCTAGTTTGAATTTTGGATACCCTATTTGCGACGAATGTCTTCAGAAGGTGTGGTGAAGTTTGTAGCCAGTTGATGACGATGGTGGAGTCGGTCCATAAGGTGGTATTGTGGATTTCCACGTGCAACGCGTTCTTGGCAGTAGCGATGAGCGAGGTGAGAAGCAGCGCTCCACACAGTTCGAGCCGGGGTACCGATTGCGTTTTTAACGGGGCAACCTTTGACTTCGCGAAGAGAAGCTCTACGTTTATACGTCCATTGGCGTCCCTTGAACGGACATAGACGCAAGCTCCGTAAGCTCTCTCGCTAGCGAGAGACAGACTTATAGTACTGACACCATTCTGTATGTATGTCCATCGGCAGAGATTCGTCCCAGTCTACCTTAACGGACCAAATTCTCTGAACCAGGATTTTTGCAACGATGATGACGGGACCGAGGAGGCCTAATGGGTCATAAATCCTGGCAATTTCGGAGGAAATGAGGCGTTTGGTTATGTGCGTGGTCGCGAGTTTTGTTTGGACTTCATAGGATATGGAGTCTGCCGAGGAGTTCCAAACAATCCCTAACGTTTTTATGTTTGATGAATCGCCGAGATGGTGCTTCCTGTCGATTGGCTGGTCCGATAATCCTGTTAAAAGTTCCTCATGGTTGGCCGCCCATTGTCTGATGTTTAGCCCGGCTGATCGTAGCAATTGCGTTAGATCCTCCCTCAATGAGCGCGCTTCCTCGATGGTAGATGCTCCAGTGAGTGCGTCATCCACGTAAAAATCACGACGCAGAATTTTTGCGGCTTGAGGAAACCGGTGCCCTTCGTCTTGGGCGAGTTGAGTAAGACAACGGATCGCTAAGTACGGCGCGGCTGACAACCCGAATGTGACGGTTTTCAGCTCGTAGGTATTGACTCGACCGGTATCATCGCGCCAAAGAATCCGCTGATATTTCCGATCTTCGTCACAAACGAGAAACTGCCTGTACAGTTTCTCTATATCACCGGTGAGAACGTAACGGTGAATACGGAAGCGGAGCAAAATGTACAGCAGATCGTCCTGTATTTTTGGCCCTGTATGGAGGGTGTCGTTGAGCGAGATTCCGGTGCTCGTTGCAGCGGAACCGTCGAAAACCACTCGAAGCTTGGTGGTTGCACTCGTGACCTTCGTGACTCCGTGATGAGGCAGGTAATATCCGCCGGATGAATCTCGATCTTCAGGAATCCGTTCCATGTGGCCCAGTTCGAAATATTCATTCATGACGGCGTGATATTCTTTCCGTAAAGTTGTGTCACGATGTAGTTTCCGTTCCAGAGATTCCAATCGTTTTAACGCCCGCGATTTGGATTCTCCCAGCTGTGTAACGTTGTCGTTGAACGGGAGTGCTACGACGTACCGACCGTCGGTGTTCCGTGTCGTATGCTTTTGAAAATGCGTCTCGCAACTCTTGTCCGAACTCGACAGATGCTGGATCTGTGGACCTTCGATCTCGCAAAACCGAGCCAGATCGACTTGGAGAGTCGAGAGCCTTCAATAACTCGATCGCGTCGGAGTAATTCGCGTCCGTAGTACACAGCGACTCAATACACGCGGCTGCCTTTCCGGAAAGGGTCGATCGCAGATACTGTAGTTTCTGCACCGGTGTTAAATCCGCGTTCTGGTCGATTATCGACGAAAAAATGTCGAAATATGACGCCCAATTTTCGATTTTTCCGTCGAATGTTGGTAGGCGCATCTCCGGCAGTCTTATCGCCATAGGGGCGGATACAGAGGACGCGTGTGACTCCGTCGTGTTTCGTCGTGGGGTTCCGTTCGCGCGCTCTCCCTCGATTAATGCATTTGCTCGCGCAATGACGGTTACGTAATCATTGTGTATTTCGTATCGACGTGGTGCTTCGGACTCGTCCATTTCTTCAATTTCAAATTGGAGTTCATCGAACCGTGCCCATACGTCGTTGAGGCTGGTCAAATGCGCTCGTAAGAGACCGATATCGCGTTGTTCGGGATGTTGCATGTTATCAACGAGTCTCGCGAACGTCGTGATGTGCCCGATTATATTGCCGCGCTTGCGTCGCAAAGTACTGAGACTAATACCGATCGTAGTGGATTGGGTTTGGCTGGACGATTGTTCTGTTGCTTTCGGCATCGTGGAACGGGATTACAGACACACGAAAGGAATTGGCGATAATAAACGAGCCTACCTTTGCGATGCGACGATTTCCCAATGGTTGATGCCTACTGCGATGTCCTGTCCTCGAGATGCTCCTTGGACTAGGGTATTCGAAGGATGCTGAGGTGATCCTTCGGTGATCCTTCGGTGATCCTTCGGTGACCGATACGGTGGACCGCTGCTGGTGAATTAGCGACAGCGTCGCGTTGAGATGGCAGTTAGCAGTTACCAAAGTATTTGGAATCCACGCGTTACTGAGGATCCGGCTCGAAGGACCATTTAATGTTTCACAATGTGTGAGTACGCGTTCGCGACGAGACTGTAGGATGCGTTGAGAGCCGAGTCAACGGAGGGCGTAAATCTCCGATACGATTTTAAATCGACGTCACGATGCGCGTACGACCCTACGACTTTTTACAGAGATAGGGTGAATACGTTGTGTTCCGACAAGGTTTCGGTTTAAATGGTACGTTTTTCGCGGGAGGATGATGTTGTTCCCTTGTCTTGTTGATGCTAACTCACCCCTTGGAGACGCAAATTCACTTCGATTCACCCACGCCGGAAGTGAATTTGCCGCGTTGACGGAACGCACGCGGAAGTGGAGACATAGAATTTTCCGATTCGCTGAGATGAACGCGTTGGCGTGTTCTCCACTGGGACTGGTGGTTGAGAAATGCACCAATCAGCGAGTCGGAAAATGCCGGAAAATGACGGTCCCAATTAGCGGGTCCCTCGGGCCGAGGCGATTCGTGCGCCACCTGTCCGTGCGTGGGTGCACCTCAGCCGCGAGAGCCCGCTCTTTTTGGGTTTTTCCGGCTTCGTGTGACGTCATCCACTCTCCCTCCGAGGGTGTCTCCAAGGGGTCGTTTGCCAAGGCTGCAGCATGTATTTTGCAAGCCGCCGACCACGGACCGAATTTTTACCGTTCGGCCGAACGGCTACAAAACACGTGTACCCCCGTCATTTACTTGAACGAAGATATTTTTCGCCAAGTTGTTAATGACGGAGGGCTTTATGAAGATTTACGATTTGATCTTTCCGTCTTAGGACGACGGAACACGTGTAGTGATCTGTTCTTGTCGAATGCGGTAAGTGTTAGCGACCATCGCTAACACGGTTTATGGCACGGACGTGCGTGAAGGGCTATTTTAGAGATTTAGGATTTTTAGGTTTTTAGTAAGCATGCGTTTTTAGAGTGTACTATACTTCCTGGCGAGAGAAGACGATTTATGAGTTAAAAACTGCGAGTTTTAGAAAGTCGCTTCTCTCGTCCCTCAATAGCCGTGGCCGTGCCATAAACAGGGAAATTCCGAAGGGGAGTTGGACACGTTCATGTAACGGTAAGGATACCGAAGGTCCCTTACCCCCACCCCTTCCCAAGTGAGCGCGCTAAGGGCGCAAGGAAGAGTATCTGCGCTAAGTTCGGTCCGCTGATTGGTGACAGCCAAAATGAGAAGAAACCAATCAGCGGACAATTTAGAAATTAGGGACTTGGCGATCAAGAGCGGAGATCGCCAGGGGCCAGTCGCTCATTCAGGAGCAGTAAGAGTCAGTCGCTCATTCAGGAGCTCTGAGAGTCAGTCGCTCAAACACGAGCAGTGAGTTAGCAAATACCATTAGCAATCTTAGTACCCTTAGGAACCTGAAGACCAGTCAGGGAAATCAAGTACAATTTAGTAAGTGAATGGTGAGCCAAAAGAGTGAGCGGGTTAACCATTCTGGTCCTTCGAGAAGGTTATAACTAAAACCACGTCAGAGTGCATTTGGAGGTACGAGTGTACACCGTGCGCTAACAGTAAGTGAACTCTACTTCGTCGGAGCTCTTGCACCCACAAATAAACTTTTTTACCCCTCCTTCGGATGTTTGGAAGGGGATACTGACGGAGTGGGAACAAGAGATCGACGGAGTTTTGGATAAAAAATACATTTGGTAATAGCAGGAAAATCCCGCTACTTGACGAATGTGCAAGGGTGTACTCCGATGCGAGTACGCACCCTTGTCCGCAGGTAGTCCTCGCTGTTGCGCGTACATTCGGTGAGTCAGCGAAGGAAAACCCGTTACGTGGGCCCATGTGTACGTGCCTACCTAAATGCGGGCACCCACCCATGGCCGTGGGTAATCCTCGCCGCTGCGCGAGAATTCGTTTGGTTTATGACAGGGGCGATTTTTGTACGGGACAGAAAATGGGAGGCTGACCTGCACAAAGGCCGAAACCGGGCCCCGGATCAACTGTCCCGAACGCTCGATCGTGTTTGCGCCGTGTCATAAACCAGAGTCGTGTATCGACGTGCCGCGGTCCTCGGTATCCGTAAGGGTCCCTTGTTCCGCGACGGAACACTAGGGAAGGTTGTTGTGTTATATGTCTTAAAAGAATCTTATTAGTGCACGATTGTGATTGTAGTTGTTACTGATCGAATGAAAAATCCTCGACTGCTAATTATTGATTTTAACTCTTTAATGATCATATCCGTGACATGTATGGACACGACGAATTTACAAAGAACGGTATAGAACTTTATTGATTTCTTTATTAAGAATATGATTTATGTCTTCTATATAAATAAAAGCTTTTATCGCAAGGAATTGAATGATAACCATTTCGGATTAGTAGTCAAATGGAATAATATTGTATATGTAGATAACTTGAGCGTTTCCAGGTTAAAGTGCAGCTATTAAATAGTCGTCATTAGGTAAAGTGTTAAATTGTATTATCTAGTGGAATTATATAGCAATTTGTAATATGTTTTAGTAACATTGACGTCTTATAAGAGTCGATAATCGTGTTTATCAAGCATTGGCTCATGGACCGGTGTTGGTCCACAACAAAATATCTATTGAAAATTTACCTATTTTAATTGGCATCTATTTGGTTACAAATTGCAATAAAAAATGTAACATCCTTTATTGCAGTTTGCAGCCAAGTCACTGCTAATTAGGTTTTGTTTTAAACTGTCGTGCCAGAAGGCGATCTCTCCAAATTTGTAATAGGAGATTCGATTCGAGCGCCTGGCGCGACGCGGGACTATTTTTCTTAAGAAGTGCTTAAAACACATGGCCCGATGGTGGACCATAAATTAAGTGTCCCATCGCTGGCTGCACTCAGTCACAGCCGAACCATCGCGTAAAATAGATCTTGTATTTTAAACCACATCTCAATAAACGTACTCTTTATTTTCCTATAGCATGTTTACTGTTTCTGCCTACTGCTCCTCTGATACAAACCTCAAAATTACTACACAAACATTTTCTTTAGGATTATTGGAAATATCTAAAAATGATGGATATTCTTAGACGATACACTCTATATTTACATATATATATGTATATAGTTTTATGTTTTAAACATGTAATGACAAGTAAAGAAATACACCGATTATGTATTTATAAATCTTTCAGAAATAGAAAAGTGAAGCCCTTGTCTTGCTGTAGTTCACCATATGCAAACATGTTTCATAAATAAATTTCTTGCTCTGTTAACAACTGTTACTTATCGACAATTTATTAAAAAGTCTTTCTAGTTGTCATTTTGCCTTCGATCGAATAAATACGACGGATAAATATCAGAAACATGCAACAGCCTTTGCTAAGGCTTTTGATTGTACGTATTTACTTACAGAACGACGAAATCGAAACTGCTGCGCACTTTTCCACTATAGAAAATTATACAAGCATCGTATTTGACGGAATCTTCGTACTCGACAAAAGAATAGCTTCTACATGGATACAAAGTACCATTTTTATTTTTATATGTATTTCTTTGAGAAAGTTTTAGGTCTGTAACGTTTAAGAAGTGCCAAGACACTTAAAATACATATGCTTGTGAAGTTGTTGTCAATATCTACCGAGTAATGATCCGCGATATGACAGAAATTGATAATTTCTATATAATGATCAATCATGTTTGACTGGCAAATGTTAAGCTATACAATTTTTTATTTCATCCATGTTCTGGTGCTTGATTTTAATTTAAACGAGTGATGTGTGCATGACATGTTTTATTTAATTCCACAGAATAAGTTATCTGATAATTATTAAATGTGCGTTAACAACATTATTCTAAATTCCTTCACAGTGTCTGTGAAGAGTGTGTTATAATACATGAATTCCTCAAGACTCAACTTTGAATTTTTTAACACCTAACAATATTGCTTGTCTGCATTACTTACGGAATGCAGTGAACATTAAATAATTGCAACACTCAACGGGACCGGAAGGTTGCAATTATGAAGAGGTAGAATCGAATCCATCCTAAGAAAGGAAGATTTTATCATGACGGATGTAGAAAAAGACAATGCGAGTGAAGGAGAAAGAAGACTGAGAGTCGAAGTGTTCGGAAACATTAACGGCTCGCGACGAGCTTCAGACCTTCAATTCAAAATTCAAACTTCTTTATTTTTGATTTTTGATGAATGAAACTTTCACCATCACGTTTATTATGTTCTTCTGATTAAATTGACATCAAACGCGATAGAATTATGATCATCAGTACATGTATAATAAAGGATTGAAGTTTCGGATGTAGAAAAGGACTGCGAATAGAAAAAAAATCGTCGAGTTCGAGTTCAACAATAGTCAGATCATGCTGCACCCTTCAACTGGGATCGGTCGCCGAGCGCTATAGTGTGTTAAAAGTTATAAGGAACGTGGTGGGTATAATGATGTTGCAATTCTGAAGAGGTTTCCGAAGAGGTTTGTGTAGAAATTTTCGTTATTTTACATTCGTCGAAGTAATATGCTGTAATGGGAAGAAGACGTTTGAAAGAACTTAAAATATCTCAGAAAAAATACAAGAATAAACCAGGTTTTTAGTCAAGAAAATTCATCCTTCGAAACTAATTAAATCATGCTATAAAGCTTTTTCACGACATACAAGATAAACAAAATATTTAGGTAACCTCCTTCAGTTAGGACATTCTGTATAAATTCACAATTAATGTATAATCAGTAAAGTAACTTTTTGATATCCGAAAGTAAT